CCCGCCTGGACAATGGAGTCTTCAAAAACTCACATAAATTATAAGAATATGCAAGTGACTTTTTTATACTTGTAAATGACTATGCAAAACACGCGATTCAAAATTCACACATGCACCTTCATCCAAATAAATTCTGCCAACCTCCGTAATTGTTCATAATTTTAAAGCATATCAAAATTTGTGTGGTAATGGTGCATCTTCTTTAGGAAAATAGTGTTAGGCGTGTTAAGAGCCTGGTGACTTTTGATATCGTTTGTCAGTCACTATAGGTCTACACGTAGGAAAAAAGCAACATCGGTGCGAATTCCAATTCAAAACTCAAAGCAGAAAAGGTCTGTTTGTCTTCCGGTATTCGCTGTCTCGATAGTAATTCTGTTGTTTTGTCTCTAACTTATACAGCTCGCTCAGGGTAGACGGTGGTAGACGAACTATGTTTTTGTTTCTATCAGTAGTCACTTTAACGACAAAACCTAGCTCCCTATGTTGGGGCTGTGAAAAGATTTGGATAGAAAACATTAGTTTGCATTCTATGTCCTCTGCCCTTAACGAATTACCACCATTCTGGAATCCTTGGAATGTAAAAGAACCCTACAGTAAACATCATTCTTATCCTATCACTATCGAATGACTATATAAAGGGAAATGCTTGTGAAATGACCATTGTATCTCCAATTCAGCATTATGACCGATCACATAGTAGATGGATGCGGTGACCATGTCACGGCTCTGGATACCGAACCACCGGCTATTGAACCGCTCCTGGACGACGGCGAAAACGTTCTGCAAGGAGTTGAGGAATATTTCTACGAGTTGTTGATTGACATGGATATGATCAGCAGAATTCGACGAACGAATCCGACGCAGATCCAAGCAGGCCAGGTGATTTGGATCCTCAAATTTCCGCTTGCAACTTTGTTTTAGATGGTACTTTCGCGAGAGATACTGCGAGTTTGGGATCTAATGTATAGTCATCGCTTCCTTCAGTTACATCCAGATGAAAATAGGATGCAGAGTGAGGAGAGACATTAGGGTAAGTTATATTAAATTTCTACGTCGATGTTCCCTTTGTATCAAACCATCATCTACTGTCGCTGCATGATTATGACTGAAAAACTGGTTATGGGATGTGTAAGTCACACATTCTTTCATAACGATCGAGAGTTTTCAATGGTTTCAGTGACTGTAGTGAAGATTACAGAGGCAATACTACAATTTAGGATGCATTTTCCTAAAAAAAAGTTTTTTTTTTCAGAAATCCCTGGGATTATGTGAAGAAAGCATAATTGCAAGCACTCATTTGAGTCAATAATAAAGTATTGTTTTAGGCAGTGTAATCATTCTTGTCGTACTTCACTCTCAGACAAAAACAACTCTAAATCGAGTTTTTTGCTTGCATTATAAAACTGAGTCTTTTAATCGCAGCTGTAGTTTGTTTTGCTTTGAACATCATGCGGACGTGCGCGTCACTTATAGTATTATAGATTTTTGTAATGCCACGTTTTCTG